GCGCGTAGGTGTTGTTCGTGCTCCTCAGATGTTTGACTAGCGACCAAAATGTCGTGTAAATAAAAGGTATTGTCCAGACCTTGACATACTTGGTCTATGAAACGCGGAAAAGTTTGAGCTGCGTTTCTCAAACCGAAAGGCATACGCAGAAACTCATAGAGACCAAAAGGCGTAGTAACGGCGGTTTTCGGGACATCCTCAGAGTGCACGAGGTTTCGGTTGTGAGCTCGAACGAGATCGATTTTGCTAAAAAATCTTACACCCTCCTAAACTTGCTGTCAGGTCCTGGATTTGTGGTATTGGATGTCGGTCAGGCATAGTAATGTTGTTTAGGACCCTGTAGTCACCGCAGGGACGCCAGTCTTCGGTGGACTTTTTCGGAACCATGTGTAAAGGTGAGGCCCATGGACTGGAAGAGGGCTGTAAGATTCCGAGATCTAACATGTGCTGAAATTCTGCCTGTACGACTTTAAGTTTATCTGCAGCGAGGCGTCTGGGACGGCAGTGGATGGATGGACCCTGCGTGACGATGAGGTGCACTATGTCAGTGCTGACCTGTGGAAAAGTGTTCGGCGGTTTACGTAACTCCAGGAATTCGGAGAGAACCGTGTGGAACCAATCTTTTTTTAATTGTCGGTAGATGATGGGGCTGATGGATGTTTTGCGTGTTGGGACGCCTATTACGTCGAGGGTTGTGAGACGGTCTACAAGCTTATGGCCTACGGGATCGACCATGAGGTTGAAATGACGGAGAATATCAATGCCAATAATCGACTGCGGAAGGTCAGCGATGATGAAGACCCATGAAAAACTACGGCGAATTCCGAGGTCCAATGTGAATGAACGCTCGCCGTAGGTTTTGATTGGGGTTAAATTCGCTGCGACCAACTCAACAGTCGATGAATGGCGCTGATCGATGAGTCGAGGGCGGATAATGCTAACCTGGGCACCGGTATCGACTAGAAAACGTGTGCCAGTGACCTCATGTGTGACGTAGAATAGGCGACTTGGCCTAGCTAAACCCAACACGGTCGTCGCCTTGGCCGGTCGGCTTAGGCGTTTCCCTGTTGTGATGCCTTGTAACTACAAGGTTTCGTGCATCTTCGAGCTGCGTTACCATATTGGTACCAGCAAACGTCCAAAGATATGTTTTGTGATCTAGGACGTCTTTGTCGACTATGGAATAGCGAACGGGAGGAGGAACGAGAGTAGGAGCTGGAACGGGAGCTAGAACGCAATTGATCGCGGGAAATTTTAAGTGCTGCTACTTGGGTCATTAATTCGTCCAGACGCCGATTCACTTGGTCGTTTGCGTCCTTTCACGAATAATTCCTCCAGTCTGGGGATACGCGAGTGACGGGTGGGACCGACGGGGTGTGTGCGCATATGCTGTCGGTTGCCTCTGCGAGTTCGTCTAGGATAGCCTTATTTGCGAATACCCTAAGGAAAGTCGCGACGTATTCCGGTAGTGCTTGCATCCAACAAATGCGTAGCACGTTTGCACTTACGTGTAAGCTGGGGGCCGGCTCCTCATACAGCTGATTAGCTGCGTGGGAGTTTGTAGCCCGCTGTCCCCTAGACGGATTCCGTTCAATAGCTGTTTGAGACGGTTGTCCTCCGTCATGCTGAAACGGTTGATTATCGCCTCCTTTAATGCGTCCTAAGGTCTGTCGGGTGGGGGATTGCAAACTACCTCCATTAAGCCAGGACCCATGGAGCGTGGGATGTCCCACGATTTGTGTGAATTTGGTGACCTCATTGGTCACCCTGGCCAGCCGGAATTGTGCTTCCACTTGAGGTAACCAAAACCCCGAGGCTTCGGGGATGAAGTCTGGTATTCTAGCCAGTAGACCACTAACGTGGGGGATATCCTGCTGCACTATGTTGACTTCTGCGCTGACTTGATCGTCGATCAATGAGTTTTGCATTATGTAAACAAGTGCTGAGTAGATAGAAAAAAATTGCACGATGTCTATGTCTCAACTTATTAAAAGTGGTAAAAGTAAATCTTAGGGTACCCCAGCGATAATGAAAGGACTAAGCAAGTGAATAATGTAAAAGTAATAACGAAACTAAAATGCGCGATAACTTTAAAATGTGGAAAAAATCACGTCGGGCTCACCAATTTAGTCTCTGGGTTGATGATGTCCGCAAATTCGTACGTCTAACAACGGGCGAGGTAACAAACCAAAGCAGAACGACTGATATCACGAAACCTCAACCGCTGTTGTATTGTTATTAGCTGGAGAGTAGAGAGGGAAGCGTACAGGTAAGTAAACGTGCAGAAAGTGAAAGTCAAGGTACCGTGACCAACGAGGTAATCTTGNAGGTCCAGAAGATGGAAAAGGTACATGAGCGGAAAGGGTTGACACTGTCAGTGCACTCTCTAGCGAGAAGTGTCCGAAGTCTTTTAGCCTGTCTTGGTATGACTTACCCTTTTGGCCTTCAATCATTCGGGTGGCTAGTCTTTGAACTTTCTCTAAGTAGGCTGCATCCCTTTTGAGGAAGGGTGCCCAAGCCTGCACGCAGTACTCCAAGTGGGGCCTAACTACGGCTTTGTACAGAGGTAGGAATACGTCGGGTTTCCTAAAGGATAGTACCGACTTCAGCCTGAACAGCTCTCTCCTCGCCCTCGCTGCAGCCAGTACACACTGCTCTCCCAGCCGAAATCTGCTGCCACCGATATTCCTAGGTCTCTGCTGGTTTCTACAATCGCTGCAGTGAAACCCCTTCCACCTAAATGGATTGACAACTGTTCATCAGCACGGGAAAGTAAATTGCTTTTCTCCGCATTCAGTGGGAGGTCCCATACTGTTGCCCATTCCGTTGCTCTACGCAGGTCATCCTGCAATTGCTGCCGACTGGCTGATCCCACGATCTAGACATCATCTGCGAAGATGAAGCTTGGCGAACATAGGATGGCAGCTAAGTCGTCTATGAAAATGAGTTACAGTAGGGGACCAAGCACTGAGCCCTGTGGTACTCCACTAGTGGGTATGGCTTTGGTCGATACTTTGTCTCTAATCCTCAAATAAAACGTACGACCGGTCAGGAATTCCCTGATCCAGTATAGTATCTGCTCCCCTGTCCCCTTGTGTTTGAGCTTGGCTAACAGAAACCTGTGATTAGCTGAATCAAAAGCTTTACAAAAGTCGAAATAACAGACTTCCACAGCTTTGCCCTCATCTAACCTCGAGGTTACCTAATCTAAAAAACACAGTAAATTAGACAGGCATGACCTACCCTTGGTAAACCCGTACTGTTGGTCAGTAGGCAGTGAGTTGTGGAGTAAATGCTGTGCAATGTGCGTCCTCACTATCCGTTCTAGGCACTTGCACAATATACTCGTTAGGCTCACCGGCCTGTAATTTTTAATCTGGGATTGTGATACCCCTTGTGAATGGCAACAACAGCAGCTGTTTTCCAATCCCTCGGTAGTTTTCCCTGGTCTGAACTGGCTTGGTACAAATCCCTCAGCGGTCCCGCTACTACATCCGCAATCGGCTTGACGATTGCCGGGTGGATTCCATCAAACCCTGGAGATTTAATTTAGTTCAGCTCCGCCAATATCCGATGAGCCACTTCTAATGACACACACATTCTCCATTTCCTCTG